TATTCCTACAGTACCAAATATACCAAGTAACAGCAAGAAAAACACATGCACCAATTTCCTTCCCTACTATCCTACCCAGACCGTGCAGAAAAAACTCAGCGACGCCATCCACAGTATTTGGAAACACAGCCTCCATACCCCACCAATGTAGCACATTCCCCCAAACCGACCAAGCCTCCTTACATGTACAAAAAAGATGGTTAGCCTCCTCTACCACCCCATCACACAAGCCACACATTAAACTCTCCTCCTGCAAAACCACCCCTCTTTTTTGTAAATTCACCTTTGTTGGGAGTCTATCAAGACATAATCTCCAACCAAAAAAACCAACTTTGGAAGGGACTAGTCTACACCAGATCATCTTACAAAACTGGTCTGCGAGAGTGCACTTTACAGGCGCCAAAGCCTCGTAAGCTGTTTTCACCACATACTGTCCATCTAGTCCATGTATCCACCACCAGTGGTCTTCCTTGCCTTTCTTCAACTGGACACCCCCTAACAACTCCCATAAGCCATCTTCTTCATCCCTCACTCTACCCTTCCTTTCCCGTCTCCACTCCATGTTCCACCGCCACCTATCTTCCTCCCAGTCGCCCATCTCACTAGCTAGACCCTCCTTCTTAACAGCCAGCTCATATAATCGGGGAAATAAATCCCTCAACGATTTATCCCCAACCCAGATCTCTCTCCAAAACCCTACTCGTTTACCATCCCCTACCTCCCATCTAAAACCCTTTACCAACAAATTCCTTAAACCCGCAGACAACCCTCCTATTTTAACAACATCACTCCAAATCTTAGACACTCGTCCACTTTCTACTCCAGTAATATCTACCTCCCTCCTACCTCCATAATATTTCTCCCTAACCACCTGTTTCCAAAAATTCTCCACTCCATCACCCAATCTAGCCCACCATTTCCCAAGTAAAGCCCAATTTCTCCTACGTAGATCTGGCACTCCTAAACCACCCTTCATCTTACTACAACAAACTAACTCCCAATTAACCCATGGTATCTTCCTCTTCATTTCTGCCCCACCCCACAAAAAACCCCTCTGGATGCTAATTAGTTCAGAAACCACACAACTTGGCATCAAAAAAAGAGACATATAAAAAGTAGGTAGAGAAGAAAGTACCGAGTTGAGCAGAGTAATGCGGCCTCCAACGGACAACATAGCGGATTTCCAGACAGCAAGCTTGGCACGAAACTTGTTAACAACCGGAACCCAGAACTCCTTGCGCCCTGGTTTACCTCCAATTGTCTTCATCATTGTAACGAGTATCTATAAACTGTTAAGTGAAATAATCTTGCATCGATTAAGATTGGGATTTCCCACACCATTATAAGCCACTAAGAAAATGTAGCAGCCAAATTATAATTTGATAAATGTTCTTTTTTTTTATTATTTTCTTGTTAGTTAAATAATAATTTTAGATTTTGGACTTTTAATTTTTGAATATTTTTAGTCTTGTAATTAGTTTTTACAATTTTTTGTTCTTGAAACATAACAAATAATTTTTTTTGTCCTTTCATTAATTAGTCTATTAATTTTGTTTAAATATGTATATTTTTAGTTCTTAAATTTTAAGTTTAAGAAATAAAAATAAACATATTGAAATAGACTTAATAGATGAATTGATAAAAAAAATAAAAAAAAAGTATTTTTTCATAATTTATAAACCAAAAAAATTTAAAAAATAATTAACAAAGAAAAATAATTTGAGAACAACTTTTTTGTACTATCTCTTTGTAGAACTTTATATGTTATTTAAATAATTTGTTTTTTTTATTCATTTGACATTCACAGTATTAAATATATTCACTCATTTAATAATATGTGAAAGTTGTATAAAAATAATATAAAAAAATTATCCTTGTATCATCTACCATTAACTTATTAAAAATATTTAAAATTAAAAGCATCAAAATTAATATTAACAATAAAGCTTTCTTTTTCTTCTTCTTTTTTTAACGGGTTTACAATTGTGAGATGGATGGTTTGAACTCTAACTCTTGGACTGGAGGATGCACCTTACTAGACAGCTTATAATCGTTGAATCATAAGTCCAAGTGCAAGCTTTCTTGTTTTTATTGTGCGATTGTAACCTGTAGAAGGCAGTCATGTATAAATTGCTTTTCCATTTTTGTCTCCAATGAAATTCCCCAGAACATT